GCGCCCGGCCGCCGCCGCCCCGGCCGCCGCCTTCCTGCTTTTCCCGGGCTTCGGCGCCTGGAACTTGCGCTGCCCCTGCGCCATGGCCGGGAACGCGCCGGAAGGGGAGGGCCTACGCGCTTCCGGAAGAGGCGGGGTAAAGAGCAGGCGGAAACCGCCGGGTACCGCGGGATACAGCGGGGCGGGCGCGAGGGCTCACGGGGAGCAGCGGGCGAGCCGAGCGCGAGGGCTCACGGGACGCAGTTAAAGGGACAGCGCTGGGCGCGCGGAGGAAAACGTGACAGTGAACAGGGAGTCGATGCTTCATAAAACTTCATGTTCCTAAATCGCACCGGCGGCTTCAGGCCGACGACGCTGAGGAGTTCACATCATTAGTAGAGACTTTAACGGGGCTATCAAAGCTTCAGTAATGGTGATTTGGTATTATTAGTATCATCCTTGTTTGGTGCTGCGTGGCGTGAACTCAGGGGCTAACCCATGGTAGGCTTGAAGCTACGTGTCCCTAGCCCTGTTTCTTTAAATAGTAAATTTAAAAGTCTACACTCTGTGTGTGTGCTCACCCTGGGGCTTGAACTCAGGGCTTGGGCGTTGTCCTTGAACCTGAGCTACAGCTCCACTGTGGGCTTTTTGGTGTTTAATCTGGAAGTAAGAGTCTCACGGAATTTTCTGCTCGGGCTGGCTTCGTACCACGATCGTCCATATCTCAGCCTCCTGAGTAGTGAGGATAACAGGCGTGAACTCTAGAAGGATTTGTGGGCAGGGAGGAAGATCGGCTTGGGATGAGTCTGTTCAAGACATTTATTATAAAACCTGAGGAATGGGGCAGGGCTGGGGGAGCTGGGTCACCTAGGGTCCTCCCCCTGAGGGGATGGTGGCACTGAGGGCCGCCCGGAGCTCCTCCGGGGTAAAGACTCCCCGTTCTGTGATGATCCCTCCAGTGATGAGCTCATGGGGTGTGACGTCAAAGGCCGGGTTCCAAACCCCAATTCCTGTGAGAGGAGATAAGGGGCTGAGAACCAAGTCTGAAAATTCCCAGCCTGGTCACTGGTCTCCACCACAAAAGTTCTTACAGCCTGGAGAACCCTTGAAGAATCCTGGGAGTCCTCATGCCCAAATTGCAAGGCATGTACAGTAAACCCAGAGATAAAAGTTAGACGCCTGCCAGTCCTGATCTCTTCAACATACCTAACTGTTGCCTAAAGATCTCTGCATTGACCTCTGGGTCTTTGCACGAGCTCAGAAAAAAAAAAAAAAAAAGTATGTAAAAGCAGGTGACGTGCTGTTCTAGCTCTAGCTTTTTTTTTTTTTTTACGTTTACAGTTTTAGTCCCTCGTTTTTATTTTATTTTTTTGTTGGTCGTGGCTTGAACTCTGGGCCTGGGCGCTGCCCCTCAGCTCTTCAGCTCCAGGCTAGCGCTCTACCACTCGAGCCACAGCACCACTTCTGGCTTTGTCTGCTTATGTGGTGCTGAGGAATCGAACCCCAGGCCTCATGCATGCAAGGCAAGCGTTGGTTTTAAGCTTGTCCGTGGGTCTGGCTAATGTTGCCAGGGCTGGCCTCTAAGGAGAGGGCTGATCCTCCTACTGCTGCCTCCCGAGAGTCGCTGGGATTATAGTGCTGCCCTCCCATGCCCGGCTATCCTTGCTCCTTGTGTAATTGGGTAGCTGTAAGTTCAGACCGTGACCGATCCTGGGCCATGGTTGTGGATGCCCCGTACCCCACTCCTGGCTCCTGTGACCCCTCTCGTGTCCAACAGCTTACCGGGAGCGGCTATCCTGACCCCATTGATCTCGGTCAACTCGTGGCCTGGGCGCTCCTCGATCACAATGTCCCTGCCAGTCTGCAGCCCGAGGTCGCACGAGGAGCTGGGGGCCGCCACGTAGAAGGGGACGCCATGGTGTTTGGCCACGATGGCCAGCTGGTAGGTGCCCACTTTATTGGCTGTGTCGCCATTGGCGACTACGCGGTCGGCGCCCACGATGACGGCTGTGCGTGGGGAGAAGTCGGGGTGTCACACACACGTCCCCGGGGGCCTGCAGCCCAGCCCGGGCCCGGCCTGCTCACCGGACACGCCCTTGCGGGCCATGGCGACCGCGGCCATGCTGTCGGCGATGAGAGTGGCGGGGATCTGCTCGAATACCAGCTCGAAGGCCGTCAGCCGGGCGCCCTGGTTGTAGGGCCGCGTCTCGGTGCAGAAGGCGTGCTCCAGGCGGTTCAGCTTGTGCAGGGAGCGAATCACGCCTGCCACGAGGAGCAGGGGGATGGGGGGCAGGGACAAGGTGGCACAAGGTGAGGGCTGCAGCTCCCAGGCTCCCCCCAGGCACAAGCCTGCCTCTGGTCCTCAGCTGTGGCTGTTCCCGGGGGGCTGAGGGTTCCCCACACCTGTCAATCCTCCGTGGGGCCACGCCCCTCTCCTGGCCTCTACCTGATTTGAGCTTGGCCACGCCCCCATCAGGGCCACGCCCCTCTCCTGGTCTCAACCTGATCTGAACTTAGTCAAGCCTGCCCCATCCTGGCCACACCCCCTCTCCTGGGCTCAGCTACTTTGGTGTTAATTTGGGGAAGTCACTCTCTTCCCAAGGAGTCCACCATCTGCCTACTCTTTAGGACTTTGGCTCAAGCCAGGCCCATAAAAATGATCGTGAGACATAGGCAAGGTGACTTCATCTGACTTCTGGGCACCCTCAGCTATTTTCCTTATCACCTGAACTCCAGGGGTCCCCCAACCTGTGAATGGAGGGCAGAACTGAAGGATGGGATAGAGGGGTTCTGATGCCCATTTACTGGACTCCTGGATACAGCCATACCTGAAGCCAACCCCCTTAGTTTCTGTAGAAAGATCTAGCTAGCTAGCTGTCTGTCTGTCTGTCTATCTACACAGTGTATGTTTGTGGTTATTTTTATGTGTTTCTTCTCAACACTCTCTCCCTCCCTCTTCATTCCTCCTCCTTTCTGAAACAGGGTCTCATGCTTTAGGCCAGGCTTTCCTCTGACTCCCAGCCTCCAGTACCAGGGATGACTCCGCGGTGGTGAAGGGCAGGGACTCACCCAGGGCTGTGCCGTAGCCAGCGGTGGCCAGGGCACCAGTGTTACAGTGTGTCAGCACCGTCACTTTGCCGCCCCCAGGGGCTGCCCGCTCCAGGAGGTGGTGGGCTCCGAGGTCCCCGATGCGCTGGTTGTCTCTAAGGTCTTGGTCCAGCATGTCCTCGGCGTGGCAGATCACTCTGTGGCAGACAAGGGGCCTTCAGTATCAGTCAGGGGTTTCAGAGTCCACCTTGGCTTTCCTCTCTGCCCAATTTGGTTCAGCCTGGGCCCAATACTACATTGCTGAAAGGTGTGCGGGCTGGTGGGCAGAGGAACAGATAATAAAAGGAAAAAAAAGTGGCAAAGTCAGACAGCAAAGAGCAGGAGACTTGGGTACTGCAACAGCACGTGCAAAGGCCCTGAGGCAGCTGAAGGCAGGTAACACGGAGGGGAATGGTGTGGCGCTGGAGTGAAAAGGAAGAAGACATGGAACAAGGAAGAACTCAGGAAAAGACACAAACATTCCTCAAGAGCACCCACGAAGGCCGGCCCGGTGGCTCCCGCCTGTCATTCCAGCTACTCAGGAGGCTGAGATCTGAGGATCGCAATCCAAAGCCAATCTAGGCAAGAAAGTCCAGGAGACTTATCTCCAATGAACCAGCAAAAAGCCAGAAGTGGCGCTGTGGCTCAAGTGGTAGAGCGCCAGCCTTGAGTAGGAAGAAAAAACTCAGGGACGGCGCCCAGTTCAAGCCCCAGGCCAAGAGAACACGGTGGAAAGGGGTCCCCACGGGCGGAGGAAGGCTGGGCGGCTCCCAGGGTGACCTCAGTGAAAGGGTTGTGCAAAGGGCTGCTGAATCGCGCCGTGCCTCAGTGTCCCCTCGGTGCAAGTCCTCCTGACCTTTCCCGGACCGCCGCTTCCGTGGCGCCCTCCTTCTCCGCCTCGCGGGCCGCGGCGTCGGCCAGGGAACGGGCGGCGCGGGCCATGTTGACGGCGGTGGGCCGCGCGGACACCAGCACGCTCAGCTTGTCCCGCACGAAGGCCACGAGGGCGGCCGGCCCCGGGCCCCCGGCGCCGGCCTGCAGCTCCACGGCGAGGCTCAGGCAGCCCACCAGGGCGATGGCCGGGGCGCCCCGCACCTGCACGGGGGTGGGGGGGGATCCGGGTGTCAGTGCAGCTCCGCCCGGCCCCGGCCCCGCCCGCGGCCCCCAGTCCCGGCCCCGGCCTCACCTTCATGGCGCGGATGGCCTCCCAGGCCTGCTGCACCGAGCCCACGGCCTCGTAGCGGCTCTGCTGGGGCAGCAGCAGCTGGTCGAGGATCTGCAGCGACCCCCGGGAGTACCGGATCGCCTCCAGCGCCATGGCGCGGCCGCCGCGTCGGCTCCCCGCAGCGCTGCAGGTCCAGCTCGCGTGGGCGGGGCTGGACGCGCGGAGGGGCGTGGCCGAGGCCGGAGGGAGGGGCCTCCCTAGGAAAGGGCGCACGCGCATGCGCACATACCCGCTCGCGCACCCAGGGGAGAATGGCTGCGCGAGGGGCGGGCCTGTACCTTGGATGGTGGCGCATGCGCAGCAGCCACTTCAGCGCGCCGGGATGAAATGGCCCCGCCCAGGGGTGGAGCCACGGATCAGGGGCGTGGTAGACGGCGCGGAGGGGCGGGGCCCGGAAGCTGGCGCAGCTTGAGGCACCTGCTCAAGCTAGGCCGGCAGATCCTCTGCACACCCCCGGACCAGGCCCGTCACGGGCGCTCTGGGAAGCACAAAGCGGCATCATTTATGGGATACCTGCTGGGTACTAGGTCGTGTGCCCTGCCCAAGCCTGGCTGGCCAAGAAGGCCGAGTGTTTGCTCGCAAGATCCCGGAAGGCAGGGAAAGGAGATCGTCCTTCCTCCATGCACTCCTGCCCGCCCCTTGCGCAGCCCAGTGCTCCCCTCGACTTCCTTCAGAAGCTGCGAAGGCTGCCCTCCGCCCCCACCTCCCCCTGGCCGCCCCTGCCTCGCCCCACCGCCTCCCCCGGAAGCCCGCCTGGACCCCCAGCCCCGCCCAGCCGCCATCTTCAGACCTGGGGCGGACGAACGCATCCTGCCACCCACCCGAGCACTAACCCGCGGCGGGTTACATCGAACAGGGCTTTAATGTGGGGTAGCCGGTCAACAAGACCAAATAAATAACTCCATCTTTGAGGAGGCGAGGTCTGGGGAGGGCTGCAGTCCGTGTCGGGGTCTCCGGGGTCCCGGCCGCCCTCACTCGCTCTCGGAGCCTGAGTAGTCGGCCACTAGCGAGGGGTTGGGGCCATCGGGGTGCGGCGCGTCTGGGGGGTCTCGAGGTCTGTGGGGTGCGGGGGCTGGGGCAGGCAGGGCTGTGTCCTGTGCATCCGTCTGCGGCCTGCTGGGGTTGGGGGTGTCCTGATGGCTGTCCTGGGGGGGTGCCGGAGGGTCCTGTGCGGCTCCCTGCGGCTCCCCGGCCGCGGGGCTCTCGGGGTGCGGCGGGGTCTCCAGGCCATCCCGGGAGGAGCGGCGCCGCACGATGCCCAGGTCCCCCACCGTGAAGGGCGAGCTGGCCGGTGCGGTGGCCCTGCGAGCTTGGGACAGCTTCTTCAGGACACCGCTGGCTTTGCTGCCGGTGGCCCCGGGTCCGGGGGCCGCAGGGAACCAGGAGCGGCTGATGACCTCTGACCGCTTCTGCTTCTGCTTGTCCTCATAGGCTGCAGGGGAGATTGGACAGGGCGCTGAAGGACCGCCCAGGGGCTGGGGGTTGTGTGACTGCGGGCGGAGCATGCGCAAAGCTCTGGCCCATCACCTGCACAGGGCTAGACCACCCGCCTTCGCAGCCCTCACTCACAGTCCAGGGTGTGGAACCTGAGCAGCGCCGCCAGCCTGCGGTCGTCCTCGGTCTCAGGCACTAGCGGGATGGCCAGGCTGGCTTTGGCCTGCAAGGCCTGGTCCCTCTCCTCCTCCTCTCGCATGGCTTTCTTCTTTTCCTGAGGGTCGGGGGACGCCGGGAAGGGGCAGCTGTCAGAGAAGGGGTCTCAGAGCATCCGCTTTGCCCCACTCTGTGTGTGTGTGTGTGTGTGTGGTGTTGGCACTGGGACTTGAACGCAGGGCTTTGTGTTTGCTAGGCAGGCGCTCTACCACTTGAGCCACATTCCCGGCCCACTGTGTTGAATCTGAATCCTCCAGGTAACCTCATAGGAAGTAAAAATGGAAGGGGGTGGTGGTCTGAATGCTTGTCGGGGCAGTAAGGGAGGTCTTATCTCCATCTCTGAAAAGGGGCTGGGGAGCGGGGTGCAGGTGGCTCACTCCTGTAATCCTAGCTCCTCAGGAGGATGAGATTTGAGGACTGACGTTTGATACCAGCCTGGGCAGACATATGCATGAGATTCTTAGCAAGAAGCTAGAAGTAGAGGTGTGGCTCAGTGGTACAGTGCCAGACTTGGGCAGAAAAAGCCAAGTGAGACTGCAAGGAAGTGACGTGAAGCCCTAATGTAACACACACACGCACGCACGCACACACACACACATACATGGCACGCACACACACATGCACGCGCGCGGGGCTGGGGGCGTGGTTCAGCCCCACGGGCAGGGGAAGGAGAGGGGAGGGGTGTCCTCATGAGTGACATTCTGCCCTATCCTGGAGGCTGGTGGGAACCTGTTTGTCCCTTCTACCGTGAAGAAACGGCTAGAAGGTACGAAGGAGAACGGGGACATGTTTGGACACTGAATCTGCTGAGGCCCCGCATCATGGTCGTCCTCTCTCCAGCCTGAGTGACTGACTTGTTACAGTAGCTGCACAGACACTGGGCAGGCGGGGTGCCACCCCTGCAAAAAGCTGCAGAGGAACTGGGCAAGCCAGGCTGCCTATCTTGGATTGGAGCCACGCCCCCAACCACACCCACACCAGGCTCCTCCTACCCCGTGTCCCCACCCCTCCCATTGGCCCCTCCTCTCCCAGCTCCTCCCACCCATGTCCCCGCCCCTCCCCAGACCCCTCCTCCCCCAGCTCCTCCCACCCATGTCCCTGCTCCTCCCCAGGCCCCTCCCCTCCCAGCTCCTCCCACCCATGTCCCCGCCCCTCCCCAGGCCCCTCCCCTCCCAGCTCCTCCCACCCGTGTCCCTGCTCCTCCCCAGGCCCCTCCCCTCCTAGCTCCTCCCACCGGTGTCCCCTCCCCTCCCCAGGCCCCTCCCCCAGCTCCTCCCACCCGTGTCCCCGTCCCTCCCCAGGCCCCTCCCCTCCTAGCTCCTCCCACCCATGTCCCTGCTCCTCCCCAGGCCCCTCCCCTCCCAGCTCCTCCCACCCATGTCCCTGCTCCTCCCCAGGCCCCTCCTCTCCAAGTCCCCGCCCTTCCCCAGGCCCCTCCCCTCCTAGCTCCTCCCACCCGTGTCCCCTCCCCTCCCCAGGCCCCTCCCCCAGCTCCTCCCACCCGTGTCCCTGTCCCTCCCCAGGCTCCTCCCACCCACGTCCCCGCCCTTCCCCAGGCCCCTCCCCTCCCAGCTCCTCCCACCCATGTCCCTGCTCCTCCCCAGGCCCCTCCTCTCCAAGCTCCTCCCACCCACGTCCCCGCCCTCCCCCAGGCCCCTCCCCTCCCAGCTCCTCCCACCCGCGTCCCTGCCCCTCCCCAAGCCCTATCCCCGGAACCCAGCTCACCCGGAACCTCCGGCGCAGCATGCTATTGAGGGCAAAGTCGTCCTTCCAGGCGCTCTGGGCCTCCTGGATGAGGCTGAGGCTGGGCAGGGCCTTCTTGAGCGTGCTGCGGTCCGCCTCGCCGTGCTCCAGGCGGAACATGGCATCCGTTTCCAGCTTCTCTTTCTTCTCGTGCTCTGTGAGGCCCAGAACAGCATGGCTGGGTGAGAAGGGGGTCCTGGCCTGGGGGCCCCCTCGGGGTGGCCGGGGCCGCAGCTCACCTGTGGTCAGCACCTGCGCATTGTCCTCCATGTCCCAGCGCTCCTCCTTGCGCTGGGCACCGCTCACGATCACATAGTCGCAGTTGGCGGGGTCCGTCTGCATCTCGATGTAATTGACACACAGGTGGCATTTCATCCGGAACCTGGGGGACAGTGCGCTCACACGACGCTTGGGGCCCAGGCCCAGCAAGCAGACAGACAGACAGACACACACACACCCTCCCCTCGAGAGTGACACTGGAGCCGCAAGCTGGTGGTACATGCCTGTAATCACAGCTACTCAAGAAGCTGAGAACTGAGGATCACAATTTGAAGCCAGCCAGGGCAGGAAAGTGTGAAAATCTGATCTCCAGTGAACTACCAAACAGCAAGAAGTGGCGCTGTGGCTCAAGTGGTAGAGCACTATCCTTGAGCAAAAGAGGTCAGGGACAGCGCTCAGGCCCTGAGTTCAAGCCCCAGGACTGTCTCATTGTCTCTCTCTCTGTCATCTCTCTCTCTCAGACACACACACACACACACACACAATTGGCTTCTTCATCCTTGTGTTTGTCCATCCATCCATTCGCTCCTCTATTCATTCAACAAACCTACCCAAGGCCCACTCTGCCAGGCTTGTGCCTGCTAGGGGCACTGTGGGCAGTAGGGGGAGCTGTCCAGCCCTGGAGAAGAGCACAACCACACGGTGTCTGGGGCCTCTGCTTTCAAAAAGTCCCCTTTGTAAGGGTTCACCTGTCACCCCAGCTTCTGAGGAGGCAGAAATTGGGAAGGTCTTGGTCCAGGCTGGCCCTGGACCCTATGTGAAAAACCACTGAAGCAAAAAGTACAGGAGGCGTGGCTCAAAGCAGTGAGCATCTCTAGTAAAATCCATCATGGGAAGGAAGCTGTATAGCAACTGGGGGGGGGGGAGTAAAGACACGGAGGGGCTGCCTGGGCTGGGCTGGAGCAGGTGCGAGCCACAGAGGGTCCCAATCAAAAGATGATGCCCAGATGAACACGGGATGTCTTTGTGGGCACCTTTATCTGCTGTCCCCGCACTGCCCCACCCCCAGATGCTGCCTGACACCCCTACCTGTAGATTGGGGTGGTGTAGTAATTTCCAACTTTCTTCTTCTCTGCATTATACCGAACGCCTGGAGGGGGCAGGGGGACAGGAAGAGGTTGGTGACACCAGTGCGCTGCAGGTGCTAAAGCCAAGGTGAGGGCTGGAGCCAGAGGGCCGGGTTCAACTCTTGCACCTCCTGCCAGCTGGTGCCCCTCACCCTGAGGATCTTGGTTTCCAGTCTATTCAACAGTAATGACCACATGGCCATCTCGGACCCTTGTCAAGCCTCCTGGACAAGGGATCCATTTGGAACAAGGCCAGGCTCTCATTAGTTCTTTCCAGAATGCTCACAGTTTTTCATCTTCCTTTCTTTTTTTCTTTTTGAGACAGAGCCCCTGCTCATTTTGATCTCATGATCCTTCTACCTTAGCCTCCCAAGTGCTGAGATTACAGGTGTGTACCAC